TTGTTAGAAAAACTTGAAATGAATTATGTTTCAAAAGGTGATTCATCACGATATCAATCAGATAAAAGATATTCAAAGGGTTCTGCTCGTTCAAAGGGTTTAGTCACTAGTGGTATCTCAAATCAAGGTGAAAATGTTAGCAAATCAAACAGAGTTTGTTACAATTGCAAAGGTGATCACAGCATATTTTATTGTTCGGACTTCTTGAAATTATCAGTACAAGAGCGATTCAACAAAGTCAAATCGCTGCAATTGTGCCTGAATTGTTTAAGAAAGGAACACACGTCGCGTGACTGCAAATCTTCTGGATGCAGGCTATGTCACATTAAGCATAACACGCTTTTACACACAAATCAAAATGTTTCAGTATCAGTAACCCAAGTTGATGAGATCAATGATACACACAATGAATCCAATGAGGTCAAGGTAGGTGCCACCCAATGCACTCTAGTAGCAGCACAGAATGCCTTACTTGCCACAGCACAGGTGGATGTCACAGGTAAGTCAAGCACACAGCATTTCGTAACAGCACGAGCACTGTTAGATTGTGGCTCGCAATCCTCATTCATAACCACAGATCTATGTAACAAACTAAAGCTACCCAAGTCTAAGGTCAAGTTGGCAGTTACTGGCATAAGTGACAAGCTGTCATATGATAATTACAAGTGTGAATTAAGCATTCACTCGAGACATAGTCAATATTCAATCCATATGTCATGTTTTGTTTTAGACAAGATAACCTCAATGGTTCCTGACAATAATATTCCTATTCAACATTTCAATTTACCAGTCAACATCAAACTGGCAGATCCAGAATTCAATGTTACACGAAATATTGACATTTTAATCGGTGCAGATGTTTTTTGGCAAATCTTAGAGAGTGAACGCATCAACATTAGTAAAGATTTATCCATTTTGCAAAATACCAAATTAGGTTGGGTCCTCGCTGGTCCATTATCCATGCCAGTCACAAAAACTCAATGTCATTTGTCAGTAACAGATCCTTTACAGAATCAGTTAAGAAAGTTCTGGGAGCTGGAAGAAATCCCATTTGATTCCGCGGCTTGGTCCCCAGAAGAGCGTTTATGCGAAAAACATTTTATTGAAAATCTGCAAGTTTTAGAAAACGGACGTTTCATGGTGTCATTGCCATTCAAAGAATCTCCAGACAAGCTGGGTCATTCACGAGAGGTAGCAATTAAACGTTTCGTTGCATTAGAAAGGAAATTCGCTTCAAATGATCATTTCAGACAACTTTATACGGATTTTTTAAAGGAATATGCGTCATTAGGTCACATGACAGAAATCACAGACATTAATCATGAGCCAGAATACTATCTTCCTCACCACGGTGTCCTAAAGGAATCGTCAGCCACAACAAAGCTGAGAGTAGTTTTCAATGCTTCATCTCCAACCTCGACAGGAGTTTCCTTGAACGACCTTCAAATGACAGGTCCAATAATCCAACAGGATTTGCTTTCAGTCATATTGCGTTTTCGATTCAAAAATATTGTTCTTTCAAGCGACATCAAAATGATGTACAGACAAGTTCTTATTCACTCAGATCAAAGAAATTTACAAAAAATAGTTTGGCGCTCCAGTCCAGATGAAGATTTAAAGACGTATCATTTAAATACAGTGACTTATGGCACCACAGCTGCTTCATTTCTAGCCATTCGTTGCTTACATGAAATCGCATTCAGATGCAAGCATGTATTTCCCTCAATATCAAAAATAATAAAGAATGACATGTACGTGGATGATCTATTGACGGGCGTAGATACACTAGAAGAAGCCGTATATGTATGTCAGAATATTTCCAAAATACTTCAAAAGCACGGTTTTGAATTACGAAAGTGGAAGTCAAATAATTTAGATGTTTTAAAGGGCTTTGATTCAGTTAACAGTAATCATTTAGTCGATTTCACAAGCAAGGACGATCTAACGAGCAAAACTTTAGGACTCGTGTGGCGTCCAGAATCAGACATTCTTACATATAAAATTCATTCTGAAACTAACCACACAGCGAATATTACCAAAGGGCAAATTTTGTCGAAAATTTCAACTATCTTTGACCCACTAGGGTTGCTTAGTCCTTGCGTAATCAAGGCTAAGGTCCTATTGCAATCACTTTGGGCGGAAAGTATAGCCTGGGACACTCCGCTGCCAGTTGACATGCGCAAGTCATGGCTCAGTCTTGCAGAAGACTTAAATATTTTGAATAAGCTTATCATCAATCGCAAGGTAGTATGTGACAAGGCAACGGCAATATCAATGCATGCATTTGCAGATGCTTCGGAAAAAAGCTACGGAGCATGCGTATACATTGTATCTGAAAATGCAAGTGGTAATAAAACCGCCAACCTTCTGTGCGCTAAATCTAAGGTTGCGCCTATCAAATCTCAATCAATGCCTCGACTAGAATTATGCGCTGCGTTAGTTGCGTCTCAATTAATTGCAAAAATATCAAAATCAATTGACACCTCATTTAGTTCCATTCACTGTTGGACGGACTCTACGATTGTTTTGGGCTGGCTAAAATCCAACCCTAGTACTTTGAAACCATTTGTAGCCAATCGCGTCTCAGAAATTCAGCGACTGACAGAATCTATAGAATGGCATCATGTTTCCACTCTGGACAACCCAGCTGACATTGTCTCGAGAGGTCTCAGCCCTAGTTCTCTAATGCATTCAAAGTTATGGTTTCATGGACCAGACTGGTTATTATACCTCGATCAATGGCCAACCTCGCCAATATTATTATCAGAACTACCGGAACAGAGGAAAGTGTGTAATGTTTTCTCCACACCAGCAATTCATTTTCCCTTTCATAGATTCTCCACCCTAACCAAATTAAAACACTGTTCAGCGTATATTTTGAGATTTATAAATAATTCACGTTTAAAACCAGGTGATCGTGCGCTTGAGCATTTTACAGTAAACGAACTAGAAAGATCCTTCACCTTTTTGATACGATTAGCGCAACAGGAAGCGTTTTCAGAGGAGATCAGTTCTTTACAAAAGAATCGTAAACTTCAATGCAATAACCGCTTAGTTAGCTTAAACCCATTCATAGACGAATGCGGAATCATGCGCGTTGGAGGGCGCTTGGTAAACTCTGAATATCCGTATGATAAAAAGCATCCAATTGTGCTTCCTCAAAAACACCACCTTACTAGACTTATATTCGAACATGAGCATCGGACCTTACTTCACGCGGGTCCGCAACTTTTGCTAGCTACCATACGAGAGAATTTTTGGCCCATTTCCGGGCGCAATCTGGCACGAAAAATAGTACGGGAATGCGTAATTTGCGCTAGGCATGCTGCACGTAACTTTCAACCAATCATGGGTTCATTGCCTAAGGCTCGCGCTCATCCTTCTTTACCATTTTCGCATGTCGGAATTGATTATGCGGGACCTTTTGCAATCAAAGACAAAAGAGGACGAGGTTGCAAAGTTATAAAATGTTGGGTAGCTCTATTCGTATGCTTCAGTACTCGAGCCATTCATTTGGAACTTGTGTTATCATTGAGCACCGATGACTTCCTCCAAGCACTTCATCGTTTTATTGCTAGACGTGGTAAGCCATTAGAAATATTCTCCGACAACGGTACCAATTTCATTGGGGCTGCTAAAGAGGTAAAGTATATGTACACCTTTCTTAATGAGAATTCAGAGACAATTTATTCCAAAACTGCTGACATGGGCATAAAGTGGCATTTCATACCAGTAAACTCCCCTCACTTCGGCGGAATATGGGAAGCCGGTGTAAAAAGTGTAAAACATCACTTAAAGAGATCAGTGGGACTTCATAAACTTTATCTTTTAGACTTTCAAACGCTTTTAATTCGCATTGAAGCTATATTGAACTCCCGTCCTTTATTTCCTTTGAGCTCTGACCCTGAAGATTTGACCCCTTTAACGCCTGCTCACTTCTTAATTGGTAAATCGATGCAGACTCTGCCAGTACCTACAAATATGTCTGCCCCCGAAAATAGATTGAGCCAATTCCAGTTATTAGACCGCCTGCACAGCCATTTTTGGACTAGATGGAGCAAAGAATATATCAGCGAACTGCAACAGCGCTGTCGTTGGAAGCAAACCCGAGGAGATCTACAGATAGAACAGCTAGTGCTAATGAAAGACGACAACGCCCCTCCAGCCAAGTGGCGTCTTGGAAGAGTCATTCAGCTGTCACCTGGCACCGACGGCGTCCCCCGAGTTGCATCGTTGAAAACCGAGAACGGAATGACTTCTAGAGCTATCAACCGCCTGGTTCCATTGCCGGTTGTCCATCCGCAGGATTCCCAAGGCCCGGGGCATGTATGTGCTACGCCACTGGCAAAATGGGTTTCGACCATCTCCCGCAGGAGCGCGCCACCATCCAGCGCGCAGCCTACCACTGCCGACCGGAAGACCGTTGAATTTTGAACGGTCCAATGGGATGCCTTCCTCTCGGAGCGACCAGGAGAGAGGCCGGAAGAAGCTACCATTTTGACCATAACCAGAAAATCTGTTCGGTATAGACAATTTTTCAATTACGACAGTTTTCTCATGAAATGTACATACAATACATCAAACAAAAACATAAATGTAATCAATAAAATACAGTCCACTATACACAACAGTGCCAGTTCTCTAGATAAGATTGGCAGATATTTTATATTTGCCTGCTGCGAAATGTACATTTCTTATTTTATTATTTTCTTTATGTGTTCTTTCAAAGTGGGCACCTGAATATATTGTGCAAATAAATTTAAAATGTGGTTGAAATGAGGTGACCAGACTCACCAAAGTTAGCTAATTTGTCAAAGAGAACGCCAAGATCCACTCGGTCAAAGCTTTTGAGAAGTCAATATAAATGATATCAATTTGCACAGGAGAGTCTATATTTTTCAGATATATACTGCGCAATACAGAATAAGTTTATGACTGTTGATTGCTTTTTCGTGAAACCATGTTATCATGAAACTTATATTTTATACATTGTATTTTAGGATCAAGAAATAATCCATGCGTGGCTAGTGGACCTACAATTCGAGGAGTACTTCCCGTTGTTCATAGCAGCAGGATACGACCTGCCTACCATCGGTAGAATGACGCCAGAAGATTTGACGGCCATAGGGATCAAGAAACCAAACCACAGAAAAAGGCTCAAGGCCGAAATCGCGCAACTCAATCTACCTGACAATCTGCCAGAGTTTATACCAGTAAGTACTTTTTGACAAATTTTATAGTCAAATGAAATTCCTAGGTCAAAACCACACATAACCACTCACAACTTACTTCGAATTAACGAAATCCATAATGGGCGATCGGATCTATGAAATTACCAACTTTTCAGTTGAATATCGTAAAAACTGAATAGAGAATTACCTTTAGATTTAAACATTTTGTTGGCATTTCTATAATTTTTGAAGTTACTTATGTATATCTATAAGATGGAACATCAATTTAACGAAAGCACTAAATATGTCAAATGTTCAGCCAACTATTCAAAAAAGTAGACATCGATTCAATTTGCAGTAACGTTCAACGTACTATTTGTCATTATTCGTCAGAGCGATCCGGTGGACCTTTGCTCTTAGTTCAAAGTCTCGTCAGTCTGTTAGTCTGTCAGGTCTGGCTACCCATATACCAAACATGTTTAAAGGGAAAAGGGAGAGAAGGAAAGAAAGGAAGAAATAGAGCAAAGAAAAGAAGTAAATCATTTGAAATAGCTTACGCATTATTGCTTTGCTACTCGAATTATTTTGTAACTTTATCATCAATGGAAATAATGCAGCATAAAGCGTCATCTATTACCAGAATCACCAACTGACAGGGTGAATTGTAGCTATCGATGGGAATTGCAAATATCTCAGTTCGCGTTCCATAGCACAGGCAACACTGTGACCGCCAAAGGCTGACGATTCTGGTGGTATAGTAGTTGTGGTATACTCGCTATTAAAGTCCATCAGGACCGAAGTTTATTGATCATTTTAGGAAATCTTATAAATGTTTTGTCACGTGCCTAATTTTTTTCTTGCACTATAGGGTTCGTTAGAGGAATGGTTGAGTTTGCTGCGGCTTGAAGAATACCTTCCAGCATTTTTGGACCAGAATTACCAAACGGTAGATGATGTAACACAGCTGACTTGGGAAGATTTAGAGGAATTCGGCATTGTGAAATTAGGACATCAAAAGAAGATCATGCTAGCGATAAAAAGGATCAAGGACATCAAAGCTGGAAAAAGAATAAATTCGGATTCGAATAGAATTTATGCAACGCAGGTTAGTGTCAAATTTCTAAAATTTTGTGCTCGCGCCGTTCACTGTTTCTAGATTTTTCTATTTCTTTTTTCACTGATATACAGGAGGTGCCTTGAAAGGCGATAGTATAGAAAATGTGGGTAGATAATACTGAAAAGTTCATGTAAGGTCTAAAAATCAAATTTTGGAAAAAGTATTACATAAATTTTAGGTGTGACACAACATTTTCGTCACACCTTGGAATAATCAGGAACTCGAAAAAATCGCTACTCTCAAAGATGACAATACAATGCTTAGAAATATTTTTTGTTTACTTATCAAAATTTCAGATGGCTAACTTGGATTACGCAATGAAAAATGAAGCCTGATGAACGAATCAGAATTGTTTGTCATGGAGAAGGAAAAATATGAAAAATTAGTCCTACCATGCATACAAAAAATATATACTTTCTTAAAAGCAGTAAAAGGTTACTTTTTAATTTATATAAAAAATGATTTCTAGTACATATGTATCTGGCCGATTCAATCTTGGAAGATATTTTAATTTTAACCATAAGATTATTAGAAAATTCGATGTTATCGATTCATAGCACACCCTGTATATCATTTCATTATTAGCGGAATATGCATTTTCATACTTTGAGCATGTTTAAGACTCGAATGAATAGAATTCCTTGCTTGATATTTCACATCAAAATGAGACTTTTTTCACACACCTCACTACACTTACACTCTAAAACACTGGTTATATTTTCGTTACAACATGTTCAAAGTTAATAAATGAAAATTTTATATATCCGTTGCTCATTTTCATCAAATAATAATGAGTTATTAGAGTGTCCAGTTTATGTTTGCTTTTATCTATATGAACATTAATACTGATATGGCCATAGTAATTAATATAAGGTTAATTATGACCATGTATGGCTTTTAGATGAAAATTTATTACCCATGTTAAAATTATATAAAATCTTCTAATCCGATCAAATAGACCTTTCCGTAATAATTCATGCCTGAAATTTTCATGAAATTCGTTCGACCGTTTGATAACTCATTTCAACCGAAAAATTTGTCAATCATCCATTTTATTTTTGAAAACAGTTATAGGAGTCATATGTGTTTTGTTTTTCAGCCATTTAGGTAATACATACATTCTTACAGCCATTATCTACACAATTTATGGCAGTTTTTGTAAAATTTATTTTCATTATTCATTTTATTTTACAGAAAAGACTTTTTTATACATATCATGCTCTCAATTATGGGATGTGGAACTTTAATAAACGGAATTCACTCAACTGTGCAACAAAATTCAGATGTGAAATATCCTTTTTATGATAATTTTCAACACTTCTGTGACTATTGCACTAGTTGCAAACCCTGTTAACCCTCATTATTATTTTGCTGGAACACATCGATTTTAGATTGAACTTTTGACAAATAATACAACGAGTATACATAAGAAATTCAAAATGCTATTGATTAGGAAAATTAGAGTTGCAAAAGACCTTTTTCCGAATTATATCAGAGGTCTTCTAAGGCTTCTTAGGGACTTAACTTTTAAAACAATTTTAGTGAATGTCGGTACATACTGGTAATTTTTTGTATTGTTTTCAAAATGATAAACAAGGTACTACTTAATGATAGGTTCTAGAAGGTACATTCCTGAATCGAGTTTAAGTGGAAAAGTTTTTATAAGCTTGTGTCCTAAAAAGTCTAATTTTTAAGATATACGGTGTCAGAGCTTAAAAAAATGTGTTTTATTGATATTTCAAAGACCCTTGTGCCGATTTTATTTAATTTTTATTTCTTGCAATAACACGCTAAGTTACGCCACTGACTTTTAAATAATGTATTTTTTTGGATTAAACAGCTAATTTTACAACTTTTTTGTCCCGTGTTGTCTCTTTGTATCTTTTCTAGGAAAAAAATAAAAACAACGTCATTATATGACGAAAAATTGTAAAAATACAATCAAATCAATTCTGAACGTTTCCTATTATTTTCCCCTGTCAAAAGGTTGATTTTCCTTAAACCTGTATCTTGGACCCAGACTGTAATTACGGCTTATCATTAAGTAACACACTGTATATTTATTTCCTCGTTCTAAACGAGGCAAAAACGACGCATTGGAGGAACAAAATAATCCAACTCGATTTTTTTCATAATTATTTTTGCTGGATGTCTCTAAACACGAAGCAAGTGGTTGCCGCCTGACAAATTTGTAATAATTTTTTAACAAATTACAAAAAAAAACTCAATGGAGGTTTTCTTCAATCATACTGTTCAAAAAAAAATTATATTCCATGAGCTAGAGGAGCATCAGCGCGGCCTGAAACAGTATTTACAGCATAAAAGTGCTTTAAAATAAAATAAACCCAAATGTACTGGAACTTCACTCAATTGGTTTAAAACATATTTAACCAATCCCAAATTGTGAAATTTCCAAGACATTAATCTAATCCTCTTAGTCTATATGAATGATTTGATGAACTTCAACATAAATGGTAAATTCGTAGTTCTTGCTGACGATACCACAATACCTTGGCAAGATACAGTTATAATTTAAATTAACGCAAACATTGATAGTGATAATCAATCAAAAAATGGTGTGACATCGATTACTTGACCTCCACTGTTAATAAGTCAAAATGTATGACATTCAAATACTCCCTTGTTTTTATAAATTTAAATAATGAATTGATACGCAAAACAGATACATACCATCAAATTTTTGAGACTGACCTTTGATCGTAAATTAGATGTTACTAATCATGTAGACAGATTGATCCAAAAAATCTAAAAAAACTTTGCCAGATGACAAAAAACAATTTTAGTAGTTTGTAAAAAAAATGTTGATGATGATACGGCTCGATAACATCTTATCCAACAAACGTGATTATGAAAAAAAATCTACAAGGAATGCGAGGTTTTCTAATCATGCTTTTAGGGAAATACCAACCAAAATACTGCTTGTTGCAACTTGGATATTCTTTAGTTTTTACAACATTAAAGGATCTTAAGGGTATAACCCCTACTAAATGGTATCCTAAAAACTTTGCTAAAGTCGAGGTGTTACTCTATATAGTAGTGTAGGTGTTGCGTACAGTAATAAACATGACGTGTGAATGATTTAAGCCATAATAATTAATGCTCAGTATATGACAGTGTATACGGTGCTGTGCACATATGGTTTATTAGCAACATTACAAACCAAGCTTCATGCTTAATTAGAAAGTTTATGATGAAACTGGACTATGTTTATGCATTCAATGATTTCATCCTATCGCCCGTCTCGTGTGTTTGTCCATTTTAGATGTGCGATTAGCGCATATACGGACAATGTTTCTATACATGACTGATCTGCGATGACCCATGAACCGAGAATCTGTTTACATTCAGAAAGTGACGAGTAGCTGAAGTTGCTTGACTCAATACAAAATTTGCTTTTTCGCTTTTTGCTAAATCAAAAAATGTAAAATATCACGCGAAAACTGACATCGTGAGCATAATATTTACTGCCGTACTTTGGCGAAAGGCAGTAAAGTGTAAAAATCTGAGTCTGTTTTTAAAAAGTCTTTTAAATATGATTTCGCAGCATAATAATTGTTTTTGAGGTCTAAAATCAATGACATTCGGTCTATAATTATTGTAAATCAAAAAGCAGTAACATGTGATTTACTGCTTTTATACTCTGCAAAATCATATTTACTGATTTTTTTGGTACTTTTCATAATCTCTTTATATTTTTTTCATAGGAAACACGCAGTAATGCAGAATTTTATTGACGTAAAAAAACTAAAAACAGCATTTTTCTTATATACAAGTTGAAAGAAGAATATTTTTCAATATTATTCTTTCATAGCAAGAGAAATTATTTATAACGATAAACACCCGTTTTCGAGTAATAGAATTATTACAAAAAAAAACTAGATGAGTAAACAACATAATAGGTTATGAATGGGTAAAGAGACAGTACTTGTATCATACAGAGAATGCTGCTGTTGTAACTAACGAGATCAATGATATATTTTGTAATTTTAATCATAAAAAAAGTATGCACACAGCAAATGAACTATAGTGTTTTACCTAAGTTCTGCATTATACATCATTTAATGAAGAGCATAGTTTTTGTCAAAATTACAGAAGACGCATATGTACTCGGAGAACTATTTTTGGGGCAATTTTCTGCTTGTGTCGACAAGACAAAGTATTCGAAAAAATGTGTCATTTTGTAAGGAAAAATGAGTAAAAAAAAGAGTTATTTTAAGCTTTATTAGCTGGTTATGTCATTGTTATGAATGGAAATACCCCACTGTGTTACTGGCAATTGAGAATTGAACAGGAGAGGGGGGAGAGGTACTATTGAAAAAATTTCAAGAGCGGTGGGTGGGCGGTGCCTCAAGCACCCGCGGTACAACATATACCGATTGAAACTCTGTGTGAATCTAAGCGTGCAGGGCTAGGGGGCTCACTGTATTGAGAAACATCCCAATAATGAGAAAAAATGAGTATTTAAGCGAAAAATGAGGTAACCAAAAAATGAGCTAAAATACGGAGAGTTTGAATTCTAAAATTTGTAACAGCATTTTTTTCTGGGCGTAAGCAGTGGAAACTAAAGCGGATTAAAACCAATTTTTGAAGATACAGTCTGACTTGAAAAATGCACTTTAAACGTTTTTTATATACCATTACTATAAGACTTAATCACGAACATTTATAATTATAGACTGTGTTGACAAAGAATTGGTCCTGAAATAAATTTATAGTTTTATAAATGTATTGTGACTAAATTCAGAACCATTCATTATTCATTTAAAAATTAGTATTTAATTCCCATTTACGAGTATGTTGTGTAATAACATTTGCTATACTGTGTTGTGTATGAAGAATATATATCAGTACTTTCGGTTTATATTAATGAGATTTTAGAGAAAAATATTATAATGGAAATATTCGCACAATTTTGAAGAAAGAAGTGATATAAGCCATTCACCCCGGTTGTTTTTTATCAACTCATTAGGATCATTATTAAAAAACTCAGCTGCAATTAACTCACGTGTAAGTACCAAATTAATAAATTACCTGAATTTCTAATAATGTCATTCGTGACAACGAGAGCGCCAACGAGGATGTCATGAATCTGTACGAATTTCTTCAGGTCCATTCATCAATTAAAATGAAAATTTTCCTTGGCATAACAATGTCAAATGTTACTATAATAAGAAATAGGCTAGTTGCACTTGTTTTAAATAGGACAACTTTCGCGTTGATTAGGATTTTTTTAGAAATACTTAGAGAAGGCAACGTTAGTTCACGAGTGAGATACTGATGACGTTTCCTTGTTTGCACACACATCATGGCCCATATCGTTTTCACCGTTGAGTATTAAAAATGAAAAATATAATTTTTCAAATTGGACTTATATATCTTTATTGCGCTTTCAAAAAGTGAGATCGATATACATATTTTGTTTTGATAGCCAAGTACTGTAAAAAATACTGATTTATTCTATCAACTTAGATATGAGTCAAGTAGCATATCGTCTGTTCTAATTCTAACTTTCATTTGATGTATTCATTTCTGTATTTTCTCAATTGTATTTATTTTATTTCACTTAAATAAAATTATTAAACTTAAATATTATTCTAAAACACTTGAATAAACCGAAAAGCATTGAATCAAAAGTAAATTTAAAGTTTTATTAACGAATTCCGCACCGTACAAAATTCCCTAAGGGGTGCTATTAGCAGAAATATTACTGTATGCAACACCCCGCCTATCCCCCACCGCTTCATCTCATCTCAGCGGTGCGCACCCCCTTTGTCCCCCCTAACCCCCGCTTTACCCGCCGCTGCATGTGTTTGTGTGTCTCCAAAGGACGTGCTGGTCCACCACCCTGCATCCGGAGCACCGCCGGAGTCTCCCGGAGGACTTCCAACCGGGTTCCGATCGTTCCACCAGCCATGGGAAATGCACCAGGACCACAGCGCTAGGCAGATGAGCACCTCCGGCCCTCCCGGACACTACGCCCCTAACACATTGTTTTGCACTGACATTGTCCCTATCAAGGTATCTATCTACACCTATGTGTACGTGATTTGTGGTTGGTTGAGTGATTTAAAGTTAGAGGAGATGGTTGTTAGATACAGAGAGAAATGACTTATATCGAGAGAATTTTAAGATTGCAAATATCGTTTTATTGAATATCTGACCAAGTTGTTGTACGTGAAACATGAAGAGAAGAAGGATAGTCTTTGCTGAATAGCTAAGTTACAAAGTTCTCGAGGTTGTAGCCAAATGCCTTCGAAGTCCGGCCAGAAAGAACATGATTCTTTGTCTCAAGCTTTCAAAAATATTTGTTTTCTTCAATAGGACATATCACAAA